TTTTAATTTTATTTATATTTTAGTGGATGTATGATACTAGTATGTAAGTATTTTAATTAATTAGAGTATTTAAATTATTTTAATACTCAATTTGAAAGGAAATTATCCAACAGTAATTTATCCTAAATATCATTTATGGTACGTAACAAGAAAATCTTCATATAATCATACTAAAGAGGTGCATAATGTAAAGTATTACTTGCTTTGACGTTTAATTCATCTAATTCTTTTTCAGAAGTAGTCAATTCATTAAAAATTTCTTCAATGTTAATTTTATTTATTTTTTAGTGGATGTATGATATTGGTATGTAAGTATTTTAATTAATTAGAGTATTTAAATTATTTTAATACTCAATTTGAAAGGAAATTAACCAACACAAAATTAAAAAACTTGTAAATAAATTAAATAATAAGATATCACAAGAGCAAGTAAAATAAATACAAACACAATATTTCTATGTGGTTTAGTCAACCAAGCCTACGTCCAAGCTAACCAACTCTCTGGCTAAAAGTCTGCTAAATTTGAGGTTTACTGATAAATGTCACTTTTCAAATTGTAGTTGCTTAAAACTTAAGTATTATCTTATACAAGTGAGTACAACACAATCTACATAAAATAGTTTTTCATTGAGCCAGATGGCTTTGACAAATAAATAAAAATATACAAAAATATATAGATTATACCAACTTGAATACTTTTTCAACATAAAGGCCTAGTAAAAATTCAAGTGAATTTAGAAAGTACTATCAATCACCTCACGACTTGCAGTTAGAATGTAGATTTTACTCATTTTAAACTAAAACTATATTTTAGTTAATGTAATTGATATTATTACAATTTTAAGTTGAAAGAGTATAAAGATATTTTTTAATATTTAAAAGGTTTACAAAATAGATTTATAATTAAATAAACTAATTTGTATACTAACCAGTAAAAAGTCAAGTGAATTTAGAAAGTACTATCCATCACCTCACGACTTGCAGTAATAATTGTAGATTTTACTCATTTTAAAGTAAAACTATATTTTAGTTAATGTAATTGATATTATTACAATTTTAACTTGGAAGAGTATAAAGATATTTTTTTTAAATATTTAAAAGGTTTAGAAAAAAGATTTATAATTAAATAAACTAATTTGTATACTAACTTTAAGGATGAAGAATGTTAATAAAATTGAAACTTAATCTATGATACTAAATAAAAATTATATCAAAAAATAGAAATTTTAAGGAAATATGAAAGAAAAAAAATATAAGAGCAGCAAATCAAGATTTGAAAAGAATAAAACAAACATAAAAAACTTCAAGAAAGTTTGCTCGATTGATTTTGTAGAGGCTTCCCGACTAAAAGATTTAATCTTACAAATATGTAGCACACATTAGATGAAAATGTAAACTTTTCTCCTTCAAATTTTTCTAGGAAAGGAAGGAAGAAAGAAGAGTGTATATGCTAGAATATATAGAATTAAAGAGCAACTATTTCATGAATACTAAATGATGCTATTTACAACCAAAGGGTAATTTTTAAACTAATTTTAAACTTTAAAGCATAATAACACTCTAGTAATATTTTATCAAGTGCAAGTATAGTATTCAATATAAAATTAATTTTTAGACCAAATGGCTAGGTAAAGTTTAGACAAAATAAAAAAGTCAAACAAAATATAAATAAGTCCAATTGAGCTTATAATGGTTAGCCAGCTCAGCAGAAAAGAGATAATATTTGGAAAGTCATGGTAAATATAATTCAAATCCAAAGTGAGTCATGTAACATATCAATTTATATCTACAAATGAGATTAGTTTATGATTAAGCTGAGGATAATCTTGATTGTGTGTTGTTTTATCTTATGCAAGTCACTCGAAACACATTAAAAGCTAATTATAGCTTCCTGCATTAACCTACAAAGATCAAATCACATTAACAAGTGATAAAATAAAAGTACAATGCACGCTTAGATAATCATAGCATGATGATCTCTATAACAAAATGAAAATATTAAAGTAGAAAATAATGTACAAGTGACTCAAAACCCATTAAAAACTAATTATAGCTTCATGCATTAACCTACAAAGATCAAATCACATGAAATTAACAAGTGATAAAATAAAAGTACAATGCACGCCTAGATAATCATAGCATGATGATCTCTTTAACAAAATGAAAATATTAAAGTAGAAAATAATGTAAATCAAACTTATTGGTAGTCATCAAATTCTTTCAATTCTTATGATGAAAAACATAACAATCTCTGACAACATTTATATAGCAGAAAAACACATCATCTCCTACCAATAACCAAACATAATAAGATGGATGAATGTTAGTAGAAGTCATTAAAGGACTAGAGATAAACAGTGATTGGCTTAATCAATTTGTTGATGAGAGGTTAAAAGTCAAATAAGATGTATATTTTGACAATGATCATCGATCATTACAAGGGTCATGAGTAATGGGAAATATGAAAAATCGTTTGATAATATGTAGATTGTATCATGTGTTTTTTTCTATATATATAAAAAAAGAGATAGGGCAATCAAGAAGACAAACATTACAATGATAGTTTGCATTAAACTTGATCAACTTTTAGATTGGACCGTAAACCAGGAAAGTAGGGAGATATGTGTCACATGTCAAGGGTTAAGGGACATTAATCTTTGGCAAATATTGAGTGATGGGTGAAGGGAACATCAAGTCATGAGTAATAGCAGGCATATCAATGTTGGTCAACAATTAACCATGAGCAATGATGAATAATCCTTTGTAATTATGTAAAAATCATAAATTTCTCTTAGTTAAAAACTCTAATTTGAAGTAATAGAAATATTATTTTTATAAGATTTAGGAAGGGTTTTATGATCATTTTTACTTGAATCTTGAACTAATCATACTACTCAAATAGGCAAATTTAGGAATGTTGTGTAGTCATTGCTACTTAAATTTTGGGCACTTTGTCAAACTATTCAATTAAGCACTTTTTAATTTTCTTCATATTTTAAGTATATTTGATTACTTTTAACAACTAAAAATTGCCTGATCTTGAACTCATCGGATTTAATTTATCAAAAAGAGCTATTAATCATAAACACACAATGTTATGACATTTGACTTCTTGGTGATCTAAAAATATTTCAGGGGACATTTACATCCATAGCACACATATCATATGTATTTACATATCTCACATACTTTCATATTTACACACAGCAATCAAATCTTTAAAATCACATAAAAAATATCACTATTACTAATTTTAAAACTAAAAATACACATTTTCATGCATAAATTTAAAGCACCATAGTGCTATTCATGTAAATATAAAAGTTTTAATGTGAAATAATTAAATACAAAAGAGTTTTGTGCTTCTATGTAAATCTCTCTATTTATTATTATGTTTTGAGTGAATGACTTAGAGAATGTTTGGGACAGCTGCAGCTTATTGAATAATTTGCTGATAAGCTGATTAAAAATAATATGTTGATAAGCTAGGTGTTGTGGTTATTATAATGTGGTTATTATAATTTTTTATTTTTGGAAAAGCCAAACTGCTGCCAAAAAGCTGTCACCGCATCTAGATAGGTGCAGCGTGAAAACACATAAGCTACAAAAACACAGTTTACCCAAACAGGCCATGTCTGTTTTCAAAACGCCACCGAACCAAATAAGTTGCCCCAAACGGCCTTTTAGACACTTGAAATTGTTGGTTTGGTTGCATCAAGATTGAAAAATGGAGCCCTTTGACGTTTTTTGTTCAAGATTGACTACTCTTAACAGCTTCAGCCTGCCCTAATTCTTCCAAATAACTCTTTTTTTTTTTCAGCCAGAAACTCTGCATCGTGATTAATTAAAACCACTCCTTAATGTTTTATTAACAACCAGATCTTGACACTATTTAATCACTAATCGAAATTAGCTTGAAATAATTTAAACTTTTATCAAGCGTAATCAAATCTGATTAATTCGTTCTGACCTCAATTCTTATCAAATATGGCATGTTTACTTCCATCCAAGCTCACTCTGAACTATAAACTGACCCAAAGAGTCGTCCCTATGAAAAACTTTAGCTACGAATACTCTCTTCAAAATTTTAATTAAGAGTATGTCAAAATCATTAAATTTATTTTATGATGAATGTAATATATATTTAAATTAATTTTGTATTTAATTATACCATCTAAAAATAAATCTAATAAATTAAATGTCTACATATCTTCTCTAATCATAATTTTTTGACAATATCTTGGCCCGAAAACTTCTTTTCATCTAAAAATCAATCTAATTTATAAACAATGCTTTCAAGCCAATTTCAAGGAAAAATTTTCTGTTCAGACTACGAACGTAGCTCTACATGCATACTCTCAGTAATATACCATTATTTGTGCTATAACGGGCCACCTAAAAAATATTAGTGGAACCGCGGACTCCGCAAAAATCCCGAAACAATCTCGGAATAACCCCAAAATAACATCTGCGGTTTCACTTCAATAACCCTGAAATAACACCGCAAATTATATTTCGAGGTTATTTCTGAGTTATTTCGGAGTTATTAAAGAGAAACTTATATATTTCACTTCAAAACCTCCTGCGGTGTTATTTTGGGATTATTGAAGTAAAACCGTAGAGGTTATTTTGGAATTATTTCTGTGTTATTTCAGGGTTAGTAAAGCAAAATATATGGGTTTCTCTTCAATAACCTCAAAATAACTTTCATGGTTCCACTTCAATAATCCCGAAATAATCTTCACGATGTAGCACACATGACGACATATTATTGGAGTCTGCAGATAGAGTTATGTCCATAGTCCAGCTAGAAAATTTTTCCCAATTTCAAAGCCTCTCAGTGTCTCTCTCATGCTTTCAAATGGCACCCTTGCTTAGAAGTCACGAATTTATGACGTGCATGGCGATTAGCATCTGCTAGAATAGGAGCGCTCCCTATCACGCTCTAATTTATATCACCCCACCTCCATACTCTTCCGTCCACGTCCTTATTTCTCAACTGCAACCGGCAGAGCTGACTAGCAGCAAAACTGATCCAGATGGGCATTGTAACCAGCAGATGCTACACCAAGCACTTGATAGATCTCAGCGAGCTAAGGGCCAGAATCTCTCTTCTGGAATCCGAGAACCAGCACAGGGAAGCGGGGTTCTCATCTGAAATGAGGAAGCAGAGGGAGGTGGTGGCCGAGTTGGAAGAAAGGTGAAGGAAGAGACGGACAAGGTGACGAGGTCGAAGGCGGAAGCCATTGGTGGTTGTGGATGCCATGGCTGGCATCTCCATAAGGATTATTTTGAATATATGCAGGAAGAGCAGAGGAGGGAGGAGGCAACGGTGAAGTGGAAGCAGCTCTACCTTGCTATAAAGATTGAGCTTGATGATCTCATTCGGAGGACAAGAGAAGGTCATTTTACTAGACAATTTTTTTTGTGTGGGATGTCCTCACTTTCTCTCTATTATAATCCTCTCAAGGTATATTAATTAGTTCTTGCCTAATATGCTTTTCTTCAGGAGATAGGTACTGCTGCCGAGCTAAAGGACTTACAGCGCAGGGACTACTGAGAGAGTTGAAGGCTAAAAATGAGGCTTTAGAAGCTTTCGGAACAAAGTTTGCGGCCATGAAAAAGGAAGGAGCAAGAAGAGAGAGGGAGATTGACATACTGAGGCAGAGTCTTAGGATTCTAACCAGCTCCATGGGAACTAGAGGGAGGAGAAGCATGAAAAACGCAAATTCATATATAACTGTAGAAGCGTATTTGTAAAATTGATGAATAGTGCAAATATCACCCATTTCCATGCCTTAACAGGGAATCAACTTTGTTGAACACATGTATATCAGACCATATGTTATAAATTTAGGTAATAAAAGGTGATGGAATGAAAATGTGTTAGATTTGTTTCCTGGATCAAACTGATCTGGACAGAAATTCCTTCATAGATTTTTATTCATCATTAATGCCTTCAAAATTTACATGCAAGAAAAAATAATGTCATCAGTTAAATTACACAAACTATTGCGGCACACAATTCTAAAGAAATATAAAAAGGAACAAAGATAACAAGAAAGGGCAAGTAGAACAATTATACCTCTATATTAGGATTGAACAGGATGAAAAGGTCTACAACATCACACAAATGATTGATCTGATGCACAAGAAATGAATCATGATCTCCAAAATTACATGCCTGCGTCAGCTCCATCTGCCAATCAGATTAGGGCGCAAGAAACAAATAGTCATGCCAAACTAACTTGGCCCCAAGGCACAGCTATACATCTGAAAAATATGAAAGCTGCACGTCCCTCTGTTAAACACCGGAAAGCTATTTACCCATTCAAATGCAAGTGTTTCTTAGTAATCCCATGCTCACTCCTTGTGTTTCTCAGTCTATGAAGTCCAAACTTCTTCCTCTTCGTTCTCAAAGGTCCAGATCTGTTATAACTAGATAAGGATTCAAACTTGTCAGCCAAGGAGGAAGTGGAGTGAGGCCTGCGCATCTCTTGAATACGGTCTGAACTATACTCCATGTTTACCAGAGAATATGAATTTCCATAGTTTATGCAAGGAGAGCCTCCACTCCACCAGCTGTACTCAAGCCCAAAATCACCTTTGAAGTCACAGTCCTGACAGGAGGATGATCCTCTCTGGCTATAAGAGTCTTCATTTGTTTCATCCATATCATTGTATATTAGTTTCAATGCCTGCACTACTTCTCCCATGAAAGGCCTCTGAGATGCTTCTGTGTGAATGCACATGGAGGCTACAGCTGCAACTCGAGCAAAGTCATCAAACTCACAGATTCCCTGTAAGGATGGATCTATAAGCTTTTCTAAACCTTCCTTGGTTGTCAGCAAAGGGCGAGCACAGGTCACTAGATTCTCTGGTTCATCGGCGTTAGTCATGTACACAGGTTTGCGGCCTGTTATAAGTTCCAGCAGAACAACACCATAACTGTAGACATCACTCTTGACTAGAAGATGCCCTGTCATTGCATACTCAGGCGCCACATACCTGAATAAGATTATTAAGATAATTCAGAAAGTCAACGTGATAATTTTGAGGAAAGATAATAATTATTGCAGATTATATGCAGAAGGCTAGAAAAAGCATGGTGGTGGAAACTATGAGAAAAGGATCCAAGCTTTAGAATAAATAAGATTTAGTATACTCCATTGTTTGAAGAAGCGGATAGAAAATGCTTACAACATAATTGAAATCATGGTGATGGATAACCAAGAAGAAAACCAGCAGAAGCTACATAGCAATGGAAATTTAAAAACAATATCATATCAAATATTTTGAATGATTGAATTGCAATATAAGGGGGTGCTTAAAAGAAAGGTAGTAGAAATGAGATCAAATTGCATGAAGTTTAAAATTCTACTTCAGGCATCCAAACATGTTTGCAAGTATGGAACTTCAGAAACCATATTAACTTCCAGTTGCAACATCATTAAAAATAGGTGCTTTTCCTAAGATCAATTACAGTTTTAACTAGATTTATTTGTTACTTACGAATAGTATTACATCTTTCAGATATTCATGATAGAATATTGATGAATGGTTCTAGTTTAGGCTTGCACAATTACCTGAAAGTTCCCATGAAACGGGATAGGGCATTGTAGCTTTTATTTCTTCGTGAGTCTTTACTCCTTATTCTTCTTCTTCTTCCCCCCTGCTTAGGCTTGCACAATTACCCGAAAGTTCCCATGACTCGGGTGGAAATATGATGGCTTGCATCAGATGCTTCCTTTGCCAGCCCAAAATCTGACACCTTAGGTGTAAAATCCTCTTCCAGCAGTACATTGCTGGCCTTGAAATCACGATGAATAACACGAGGATTCGAATCCTCATGCAGATATGCAAGGCCTCTGGCAGCACCAAGGGCTATCTTCATTCTTGCATCCCAGTTCAATTTCTGCTTGTCCCTATCAGCACCTGAATCATCATCATGGAACTTAAGTCAAGATTTGCATCGATTTAGCCATATAATGAAGCAACAGAGGTGGCAAGAGTGTAAGCCAATGTGCGTAGGTTGCTGACTAGTTGATCTAGCTGAGAGGGCATAATTGATTGTAAATTAATAATGAAACCAATTAAAACATTATAAACGTGAAGAAACGAATCATGAAATGTATAAAGTCACCAAAATTTGAAATTCAAGTAATATGGAATAAGAAATGCAAGTTGAAGTAAGAAGCCTTTTCTACGGTTGATATTAGCATGAATCCGAAAATTCAAGTTTGCTAAATAATGAAATAAGCGAAATGTTGGGAGGTAAATAACATTTTAAAATAACAAAAAAAATGATTTGAAGAAAAAAAAACACAAACGGTCTAAAATAACTAATGAAATTTTTAGAAAATTATAAATCTAGAAATCATCAAACAGTACACTTTGAAGGACGATTGTGAGCATGATGAGCGTTTAGTAACACCAGGAAGGATATCTTATGATGCATGTCATTTGGGGCTTATTCTTTAACTAAGATTTACCCAGCACTTCTAGTGTGAACATCCTACAAGACAACATGCATTTTGGACATAAAATGAAGTAAATAATATGCCAGTCTACTCTCAAAATATCAACTCATTAAAAAGAAAAATTATTTTAGATGCTCTTACTCTAATTATTCCTTTATCATTTTCTCTCATTGTATATAATTAATTAAAAATTAATCCCAATAGATTATAGCTAGATTAATTCTTGGCATTCCATCTCATTTGTCCATGTCCTCATAAATGCCACCTCACCAGTTTGTGTTCACGAATTTATTGTAATTAATTGTATAGCTAAATTTTAGGTTTTGATTATGAACACTTCCCAACATGCAATGCTCCTGTCATTGTATAAATCTGGGCAAAAAGAAAAATAAAACTCCAGCAATTCCGTACCCCATTTTATTTGTTAACATATATAAATAATTGGAGATTAATCTCCACAAATTATACCTATAATGGCTCCTTGCATGCCATCTTTATTTATATTTGTCACGACCCGGCCTAGAGCTTAAAATTAACCAAGATGGAAATAGACGGTCGGATGGTAAAAATTAAATTTTTCTATATTCGTTTTCTATAACTAACATTTAACAAATGAAAGAGTCACTATATAAAGTAAATAAAGTAAATTAAAATAATAAAGTTATATTTATCTAATATCTAGTTGTCTGTAATTTTTATATACATTCTCTTTTATTGTACATCTTTTAATCAATTTATTTAAACCTGAAATGTTAGTTCAAAACAATAGTAAGCTAAAAATGTTGGTGTACTTCTAAGCTATAATAACGTAACGAAAATAAAATAATATGCAAGTCGGTTATACTTTTAATAAATCAGCACAAAAGTATTTTATAATTTATAAATATGATTGATCACAATATTTCATAATATTTAATATATTTTAACATATCAATAACATGTCAATATCATTTTATATCTGTACAACCGTAACAAGAGTACCGTCTAAAATTGTATCACTTAAATCAAATAAATATCAATATCTTTTTCATTTACGTGCATGAGTACCTTAGCATTCCCCCTACTAGTATCATAAAAAAGTGAACTTCATCAGTCAAGCATGCACATTGAGTCAGTCTATGCAGTTCATATCATTCATATATTTATTTCCATCAATTCAAGATAATCTATATAAATTTACATAACAAATAATAATGGTATTTCTAAAATGTATACTCATCACAATGATATGACCAACATCTAACAGAGCATTTAAATCACAATAAAATAGTGCAATCAAATTTCAATAACAATAAATGAAATTGGTTAAGAAAAAATAAGAACTACTATAACTTAAAAGTAAGAGTGCTCACCTTAGAAAATAATTGGTTTAAATCCAATTGTTATATATTCTAGTTCACTCAGGTTAATTAACATTACCATAAAACAATTTTCAAACACAATTTTTACATTTTATGAAAGAGATTTAATTTAAATAACCCTAACAAGCCTTACAAAAAACTAGTTCAGTTAATTAGTTCGATTCTCCTTAATCCTTTAATTCAACTATTTGTCAAATTATAATAACATATTATTTCATGAAATTTTAATATTAAATTAATAACACCTTTAATTGAAATAACTTTATAATTAAAGCATAAACTCATAAACCCTTGCTTTAATCTTCATTGAATGCCTTGATTTGCATCCTCCTGCTTAAACCCACACCACAAGCCCTTCTCACTAGGCACATTATTTAAATATAATAGCTTTCAATTAGAAAAATATAATATTTATTTCATAAAGTTTATTATAACATAATATCATCAAATTAAATAAACAATAATCTTATACAAAATAAAATATAACTCTAACCTTATTGCCTCAGTTTAAACCTTACCGGCCCACAAGCCACTCATGCTCATGATTGATGCACGAGTCGTTCGATACTTCTGCTTCAGTGCTTCAATGCCTTCGGCTAGGAAGCTTCCCCCTCTTCTTCCCTTTCTCTTCTCCTCTTTCTTCCTTCACTCAGTTAGGGCACGATTTCCCTTGACGGAAACTTACAGAGGCTCAGATTCCCTCCTTTCTCACACATAAAACCTCAACCTTCCTCGTCCTTACTCTTTGTTGGTCGCACCTTGGATCGTCAATGACGCATGAAAGGTGAGCCGCTCGCCTCTTTGCTTCCTCTTTTAGTTGCTCGCAGAAGTCGACAGAGCCCCTCGTCTCCTTCTTTTTATACTTTCTTTTATGCTTTCGCTCTTACTCCAATCCTCTCTCACTCGCTCTCCGTCTCTTGCTTGGCTCATTCCTTCAGCTCGTACAAAACGTGGGAATAAATCCTTCATTCTAAATTCCCAAGAGCAGCACATCTGTTTCGAACAAGTGCCGTGCGAGGGATTAAATCTTATTTTATTTCTTTTATTTATTAGTTATGACAATCTTCTCTATAAAATTTCATCTTAGAAATTTGCAAATTTATTCCAAGTCACATATCAATGCAAAAAACACATGAACTATCCTTATTTCTTTATCAAGTAAAACAAAACTCTGATACAAGATAACTCCACTAACTTCCCCATCAACTGAAACAGGATAACATCAACATAACAACACACATCCTCTAAATAAGAAATACATTAGAATGACACTCCTATAAAATAAAATAAAACATAACATGCATTAGTCCATATTAGCATTAACATCAGTTGCAGATGCTTTCGGCCCCTATTAATAAGAAAATACACTCAAGGTCAAATAGATTGTCTTGGTTAAACTTGAGTAGGAGCAGAAGTTTTAGACTCTATCCCTCTCTGCCTACCTGCAATCTTCCGCAAAAGAGCTCCACTTGATTTATGTTCTGGGTTTTATGGTAATGTGACAAGGCGAAGGACACTAATAACATATATGAGAGCCCATCAAATATTCATCTGTATGCTGTTTTCAATATTTAAAACAAGTGACTGCAGTACTCCGATTAGTGTCACTACTCAATCTATCAGAATTGAGCTTGGGCATCTTCTCATTGGACCCCTTCGATTAATCCACATGCTCCCATCATCAATACTTTTCTCTTGTGTATCTCCTTACGCTTATGATTAACCTGAAAATCAATCTCTACTTATCTAGCCCGCTCTGCTAACACTGAGTAGTCATCAATTCCCAAAGGCATTAACGGCTACTTGATCGAATCTTTTAATCCATAAATAAAATTGTAGCATTTTGCTTATATAATAGCTATCAATTGTGGTGCATACCTTGATAGTGTAGAGAACTTTGATTCATACTGCATAATTATCTTCTCTTCTTGCAACAACTTCATAAACTTGTCATGCAACTGTGTTAGAATAGATAGGTACAAACCACTCTTTAAATAGAACAAAAAAATCCTCCCCACTTACCACAATGTTGGGTATGTCTCCTAGCATGCCCTAGCGCTAACATTGAGTAGTCATCAATTCTCAAAGGCATTAATGGCTACTTGATCAAATCTTTTAATCCATAAAGAAAATTGTAGCATTTTGTTTATATAATAGCTATCAATTGTGGTGCATACCTTGATAGTGTAGAGAACTTTGATTCATACTGCATAATTATCTTCTCTTCTTGCACCAACTTCATAAACTTATCATGCAACTGTGTTCAAATAGATAGGTACAAACCACTCTTTAAATAAAACAAAAAAATTCTCCTCACTTACTATCATGTTGGGTATGTCTCCTAGCATGCCCTAGCGCTACCCAAACCACCATCATTCAGTTTCTCCATAAAGCATAAATATAAGTAATGACACCCTTCTTTCATGTAGACATGTCATGTTGTCTAGTATCTTTTCTATCCTAATAAGTTAATTTTGTTCTTCAAGCAGATCTTAAGTTCCCTTAAACAAAGGTGGACGCAAATCTTGAAATATTACCAAGAATGTTTATCCATAACAACTGTATCACTTCCATTAGGTTATGATCTGAACTCTTGAATCAACAGTCATTACTATCATCTTGGTCAAGGTATTCATATTTACAGCTATAGCAGGCGGTAGTTCCTTATTTCCAATTGGCTTCCCTCTTCTATAATCTCAGTTGCATCTATTAGCCTGAATTAAAATAATTACTCAATTAGCATTAATTTAATCTTTCAATTTTATTATTCATAATTTCCTTATAATTGTTCTATTCACACTTTCATTAATATTAGATTATTTAATACTAAACATTATCTCTGATACCACTTTTGTCAAGACCCGGCTAGGAGCTTTAAATTAACTCAGGCAGGAATATACGGTCAGACGATAGTATGAAATTTCTTTACATTCATTTTCTATAACTAAAATTTAACAAATAAAAGAGCCATAATGTTAATTATTTTAAAATAATGCGATTAAATTTACCTCATTTATGGCAACCTGTGAATAGTTTGAGCTGAATTGCAGTATTGTAACGAAAATAAAATAATTAACATATCAGTTAAACTTTT